GTCTAATGTTACAACTAATCCTGGATCCCTTTAAACATGTGAAGCAGCTGAACTGTGGAATTTGCTGAGACTCCTGCAGGCTGCAGATTTATTAGGATTCACTTTCAGATGTTTGCAAACGGCCTCGTTTTCTCCTCCCTGTGAAGGAAAACTGAGTCTATTTGTGAGCCATCACATCGAAATGAGGTTTAAGTCAAATTTGGTCAAAATGTCCTCATCACATTTTCAGATTCTTGCTTTAAAAGCTACATTTTGATACCTGGATCATCCTGATATCATCAGCTCATCCACAGATATGACTTTAATTTGTCTTGTTGGTTACTATAATACATTACTGTTCGGTCTCAATCCTAATTTTATGTAAATTTATTAGGTAATTTTTGATGTCAATATAAAGAGGAAACCTGAAATATTATTTGTATATTAAGATTTCCCAGTTGTAAAAAAACAAAAACATTGTTAACTCACAGGGAAAAATTCTAAATTTTAAGGCGTTTTTCCTCAAAATCAGTTTTTTTTGTTGCTGCTGCTCAAAAAGTGCTTCAAAAATGTTTTTAGGATTATATTCAGACAGTTCATTCAAATAATACAACGATAAGGCTTTTATTCATTATATTTTGACAAAATGCAATTTTTGCACACGTTTAAATCAAAACCCTATATTTGCATGTTTCTCCACATTTCACCTTAATCCTTGTTTCGATGTGATGGCTCACATGTTTAGAGCTAAAGTGAACAGATTTGTTGAATTAAAAATCATTAAACATCTGTTTACTGTGGTGAAGATTTAACTCAGGCATTTATCAGCTGCTGACTTCATGTCACTCTCCACCCTGTTGTGTGGCTGTGCTCAGCCGTACCTCCTCCACATCATTAAATCTTCTGTGTCAGGTTATTTGTTGAAAAGACAAAAGACCTCCCCCCTCCACCCCCCACCCCCAGACTTGGCCTCAACTGTTGTTATAGAAACGAGCGCCTCACGTTCGCTGCGAGGAGACGATGCAACAATGTTTGGCTCTATGAAGGACTCAGATTGTGTTTGGAACAAGTCGTGCAGCAGAATCACGTCATGTTCTCGTGTCAAACGACCTCATTTTGATCCGTGGATGACGTCACCGTCAGGCTGCGAGCAGCTACGACTCAACAATGAATCAACAGAAAACTAGAGGCGTCTCCGGCCGTCAGTCCGACTCTTTCTGCTTCTTGAGTCGCAGCCAAACAAAAGTTCAGCCTCAGTTTTAAAGCTGAGAGGCCTGAGCTGTTTCTGTGACAACATTAAACTGAGCTGATAGGTGTGGAGGTCCCACAGTCCTGCTGCAGGTGCAGAGCTCACAGTGTTCAGCAGAAACAGACCGTACAACAGTCTGACTGAGCTGAGGCTCATGGGACAGGGTGGCAGGGCTGTTAACGTCACAATTTAAACCATCGAACTGAATCAGAGCATTTTCTGAATCAGTACTGAAATGCATCGAAGATTCAATATTTTTAACCTCCTCTACCAGCCACAGACTCAAAACTGGTGATTTAATTTTGCACTTTCACTGAACTAGTGCCCAGTGAGCCGTGTGGACGTGGGTTTTGTCTGCACAGCTCGTAAAACTGGACTCTTGGTCGTGCACTCTGGCTGTGTCTCATTTCATTGGCTGCAGCTGAAGTCGGTCTCTTACGTCACCCCCCCCCCCCCCCCCGCCGTAGGCTGTCCCAACTCCTGGGCGCCGACTAAACCCTGAAACTTCAGCTGCATCTGAGCAAGTACACCTCAGTGCAGAACACAGGAAGGGGCGGGGTCAGGCCAGTGTCAGACCCACATCATATATGGAAATAGAACCATTGTACTCCAGAAATGAAGGGGGCGCTGTTTCCTATACTAGCAGCAGATTATTATTATTTTATTTTTTTTATTGATCTTTATGGATTTTTGTTTTTTTTCCACCGGGAGTTACTTCTCATTCAGCCTCCACATAACACCAGCACCTCTCTCTGTTTACTTAAATCTGACTTACAGTAACCGGTAGCTGTACTTCTGCTATTAGCAACTCAGTATTTCAAAATAAGAGTCTGTTTCATTACAGTGAGAAAACATGGTCTGTTAAAATCTATAAAGCAACAAATTTTCAACTAAACTATCAAAGGTTATTCCCCATTTTTAACACAATACTATCTGAACATTGACAAAACATAAAAAAATGAAAATAAATGGGTTGCATTATTTTTCTAAAGAAATATTTATTAGAAAAATCATGAAAAGTGCAAAGCAAATCTGAAAAGTAAATTTATTGTTAATACCCAGAGCAGCTGTGGCTACAATGTAGCTTAGCATCATCAGTGTGAATAAGTGTAAAAAGCTTTGAGGTCTGGAGGGACTTGATAAAGACTTGATTTTCTC